AGAAGCAGTCACTGATGTTTTTCTTTTTCTTTTTTCTTTTTTTTGAGACAGAGCCTCAAGCTGTCCCCCTGGGTAGAGTGCCATGGCTTCACAGCTCACGGCAACCTCCAACTCCTGGGCTCCAGCGAGTCTCCTGCCTCAGCCTCCCAAGCAGCTGGGACCACAGGCACCTGCCACCATGCCTGGCTATTTTTTTTTGGTTGCAGCCATCATTGGCGGGCCTGGGCTGGATTCAAACCCGTCACCTTAGGTGTATGTGGCTGGCACCTTAGCCACTTGAGCCACAGGCACTGAGCCGATATATCTTCTTTTTATATTAAATAGCTATAGAATTGATTGCATCCTAGGAGGGAAGTCAACACCTAGGATTCAGACTTTTACTATTATTGTATGTAATTATATAACAATTGTATATATCCACATATGCACATGTATATTTAATATATGTATGACATAAAACAATGTCAGAATTCTAGATGTCCACCCTTTGTTACAAGAAATTAACTAAAAATAATGAGCTATTTAGGATCTGAATTAAGGCTTTCTCTTTATAGGTTCAGATGAAAATTTCTGTGCTTTTTCGGGGGGGGCAGCACCAAGAAATGTTTCACAATTAACTGTAGAATAAGAAGTAGAAACTTCACTATAGTTATATTCTATTCTGCTACTACATTTTGTTTGATAGCACAGAATATATGTTGGCAAAATCAGTAATGTTATTGATATTGCTGTGTTATTCCTGTTTTTGGATTCAAGAGCCCATCAGCTAACTTTTACCGTGTATGGTTGTACACTTCTGAAAGTAATGCAAGGACTAGGAGTAGTCAAATGTAGTAGTAACTTGCTTTCCTAGAAGCAAGCAGAAGCCTAATAATTTGAAGTGGTGCCCAGAGAACTTCTTAAGTGGATTTACAAACTTGGAGTTTGTTTTGTTTTGTGACAGAGCCTCACTATATTGCCCTCAGTAGAGTGCTATAGCATCACAGCTCACAGCAATCTCAAACTCTTGGGCTTAAGTGATCCTTTTGCCTCAGCCTCCCAAGTAGCTGGGACTATAAGCGTCCGCCACAATGCCCAGCTATTTTTTTGTTACAGTTGTCATTGTTTAGCTGGCCTAGGCTGGGTTCGAACCTGCCAACTTCAGTGTATGTGGCTGGCACGATAACCACTGTGCTACAGGTGCCGAGCCAACAAACCTGGGTTTAAGATTATCATTGGTAGTTAACTCCGGGGGGAGGGGGAATTAACAAATAAATGAGTTGTTTTTTTCTTTTTCTCTCCTTTGTGTGCATGACACACACAAGCTGCATGAAGTATGTTATCCAAAGGTCAAATATCTTTGGAATTCAGTATCATTGGAAGTTTACATAGTTGCTCTATATTAGCTAAAAGCAAGAACCATGTCACAAAAAAAAACATATCTTTTTTATAAAAGAACACAATTTATTACCATTTAAAAACAAATCTCACAAAATAACATTCAGAAACTCAACATTTCTAAATAATTTAACACAATAAGTTTAGTCATAGTCATGCTACAAAATTCCTGTATACAAAAGATTATTACTAAACTATCAATAGTTGTTAAAATGTTCTTCAGAATGGAGTTGGTTCTAGAAGCGGAAGATTCTGGAATGATGTTCATGATCAGCATAACTGATAACCTGGGAGAAGTATCTGGCTATATGTATATTCTCGTCAGCTTTCAACTCCTCTCTCTGTCTTTTGATGGGATTGATCCCTCTAGGCAACAGCACCCCAGAGGCAGGTACCCTACTGATGAAAGAAGCAAAGAACTTTCCACCTCTAAAATGATACCCACAACTTAATTTAGCTAACACTTAGTTTTAAAATCTAGATGTGGGAAAGATGACTCACCAAGTTTTTGAGTCCCCTTAGCAGACATGGGAGATGACCCAGGTAGAGAAAAAGGAAATTCCTGACTTCAATTATGCTGACAGACAGCAATGGGTAATGGGGCTTAGAACATGCAAGGGTGAGGTTTGATTCTCTAGCATCCATGTGCAGGCTAGGTATTTACCCATCTGTCCTTTGGAAGTACTTCCTACCAATATCCAGTTCATAATATTAAAGTGCAAATCTACTGAAAAATAGTTTACTCTCCCTTACCCCCCTTGTTAAATTTGTTAGATCATCATTTTTTGGTTTGCTGGTGTCCCTCTAACCTGTTCAATATGGGAAATTAACTAGAATCCAGTTTTGACATCTCCACAATATTGAGTGAAAAGTTTTACCTATTTATTTTAGGTCAGAGAAAGGTAAGACTTTAGTCTAGTTTTTCCTTTTATTTTTCTTCCTTTACAGTCAGTGATTTATAAAAAGGTAGGAATAGAGATATAGATATGTAGTGCAGTGTTTCTAAAAGTTCAGTGATTTTTAAGTACAAACCTTCATTTTTAAAATTTTAATAGTTTTATAGTGGTTTTATAAAAAGAAAACGGTATGATACATGCTAGGGTGAAGATGAAGGGATATGGCTAAGTTAATTGTGTCAGAAGAAGTGCCAACTCTGCTACACTGAATCTTATTTTTATATTTCATTATTTACAGACACATTAAACAGCCAAATAAAGAAAATTTGTGCCAAAGGAATGAATTTTTGGTAAAGGATAACATGCATTTTAGCATTCTTCTCCCTTTGCCTAGACTTACCAACAATGGATAAGGTTTTAGTGAGCTGATTGATGGTCTGACTGCAGTCAGAGAGACACTAGCTCCTCCTGATGAATGCTTTCACACTCTCTCCAACTGCTTTTAAGTTAATGATTAACTCCGACCTTTGTGGGTCTTCTGATTTTCTATTTAGCCCTAAGAAAAACTCAGGTACAAGATGCCAACTCTTTTTACACATCATTAATTCTAAGAATAAGTCAATCATCAAGATTCATTTCTCATTCCTCCTTATTCTGGTTCAGATCACTGGCAAGAGGTACAGAAGCACTTAATTCAAGTTGAAATTCCGCTTTCCATGTAGGAGCCACATTTAAGTGCCTTGTATCACATCTATATGTAGAATAGAGCCAGTAACTATACCAAGTTATTGACCAGTTATCATGAGAAGACATTCTTCTGATTACACCCAAAATTGATGTCAACACCAGCTAACTTTCCTATACAATTATCAAACTTTATATAATATTTTTCTATATTTAATCACTTCCACAGTATGCAAAATCTGTGCATTTTAGACAATGAATAAGAAAGAATGATGATCCATTTTCTGGAGTACACTCAAAATATTAAACTTTAAAGATAAGGTAAAAATCTATCATAAAGTTGGATCCCATTGATAATAACACAGAGGTAGGTTAATAATCACTGTCCTAAAATAAGCAAGAATGTTAAGAAATAAAAATTGAGATCCTGCTGAAAAAGGTAAGTTGAACCTTCTACCCCTGAGTTCTAACATTATTTGAAAATCATAAAAATGGGCATTACGAAAAAGGGAAATACCAGCGGTCATTCCTGGAATCCATGATTATTAGATATAACACCTTCTCTCATACAACAACTCAAGTGGCACATGGCTGCAGAGTGAAAACAAATGGACACTGGACAAAAGGAATGTTAGTGTAAAAAGTACTGATTCTTAACCAAGGGAGAATTTGTTCCCAGCCTCCTGCCCCAGGGGATAGACATTAATGTATGGAAGTTAATATAACTGGGGAGGAGACTCTACTGAACTGTAACGGGTAGAAGCCAGACATGCTGCTAAATATCCTACAATACACAGGACAAGGCCCCCTCCCCACAACAGTGAATTATCCAACCAGAAATGTTAATGGTGCCAAGGTTGAGAACCTCTCATTTAAAGGAACAAGTTCCTATTAACAGAGAACACAAAAGCTTTTCAAGACCTGGCTAAGTAATTCAGCCATTAGCTTAGAGTAAGGACACACAGAAAAGTTAAATTCCTTGGTAGACTAGAACCAGATTTGCTGTAAAAATTATAATACTAGAGCTCTACCATCATTTATAAGAAAAGAAGAAATCTAAATGATCCACTAAAAAGGCTTAATGCTGGCTCGGTGCCTGTAGCTTCAGAGGCTAAGGCACCAGCCACATAAGCTGGCAGGTTCAAATCCAGCCCAGGCCTGCCAAACAATGACAACTACAATAAAAAAATAGCTGGGTGTTGTGGCATGCACCTGTAGTCCTAGCTAGTTGGGAGGCTGAGGCAAGAGAATCATGTGAGCCCAGGAGTTGGAGGTTGCTGTGAGCTGTGATGTTACAGCACTCTACCCAGGGCCACAGCTTGAGGCTCTGTCTCAAAAAAAAGGCTTAATGCTTTAAACCTGAAGCACAGAGAGAATCCATCTCAAGTAAGTGAAATAGCTAATCCAACAGTCATAACAGCATTTAATATCAGCTAACTTTGTAGCAATAAATGATAATTCCAGGAATGATTTCAGAGGATATCCCCACTTCAAACAGCCTACCTTCCATTTCATAATGGCATGGATTCTGGCTTTAGTTCTATTAAAAGGGATGTATAGAAGTCATTCAAATATTTTTTGAATGGTACCGAATATGAATTTCTCTGTGAAATGGACACAGAGAAGTGTCTTACATTTCTCTGAGAACTACCAGTAATTAAAAATTTAAGAAATGAGAAAAAGTTAGAATTTGTTTCTATATTATAGAATTCAGAAAAAAACACCAAAACCATTTTACAAATAAATTCAATATTAAGTCATTCATCCATTCCTTATTCATATTCACTTCCAGGTAACTTTTAGAAAATATGCCCATACATAGCAATGTAGCTGCAAGCTTGTCTACCAGATGAAGTACAAAATACTGTATAAGTAAAGATGTCTCCCTTCTCTGCTTCTGGGTCTTAAATATCACCATGGAGGGTGAAGGCTCATTCAAAAGAAATGTCCAAAGGTTTTGAATGTATAAGCCAGTCAATGTAAAGGTTTCTTCCTATCAGATTGAAAGGAAGAGATAAAAGGAAGCTAAAAAGGTGTTAGACTAAGTTTCCCTCTTGTTTGTATTTAGAGTTGATTGTCAAAGCAGTTGGTCCCTTTTAATCAGAGTGACTCAGAAAAATCAAGTAATTTCTACTTAACTGATAGCTGAAAACTTCTAAAACCCAGGACTACTTACATAATCACTTTTTACAAATTATTCTCCCCTTGTTCACTGTGACTTTATGCAAGTGAAATCACACAAGTCAATGGGGAAACAAGAATCATAGTCTCTGGCTGAGGGACTTTAGGCACAATTTGGCAGAGGGCCCAACTTCTCTTCTGCAATTTATTAGTGATGCAGCCATAGCTTTCTATGGACCTCATCTGATTACTCACTACAATGCTTTGCACTTTCCAGAAATAATTTTTTTACATAATAAATTCTATTCTCTGAGTCTAACTATTGCTTTGCTATTTTGAGGTTAAATCACCTACAGTGCTTCATGATGAAGGCAATCCTCAAACATACAGCCTTTTGCCTGGGATCCCATAATGAAACATTTCTCTTCCCTCTACAACCACTTACTTTAATACATTTTAAGAGCTGTTTCACTTAGAACTTCTCCAAAAATATGTCTTGAAGTACTAAGTTTCATTTATCAAAAGGTACAAAATTCAGTCCTTAAGTCCATACCTTTATAACCATAACAATCATTTTCCCAGCAACGAGGGTCACCAGACCAAATCATTAGGTCCAATTTTGACATATATCAATGATCAACATTTAGGCTAGGAATTCAAATACAACAACTGCTTTTAACATATAAAGAACTATAATCCAAACGTACGCTTAAGGCCAGGTCCACATGAGTAACATAGCCACATTATTGGTCAAAGGAATGATTATCAGAGTCATTTAACCATTGAGTAGGATCACAGAATGACTAAGTGTACAGAATGACTCAAGTGGCCATGCATGTAAATACAACCTAAATTCCAGCTGACAATGTGCATGTTTCTGGAAAAACAAATTAAGTAAATATAATATGAGCTAGAAGGCCTCCAAGATGTTAATTTTTCCTTCTTCACCATAGCTTTCCCAACTGGACTTTAGAGTCTTAGTTCTAGGGACGCTGTATTTCTAAGAGGAACTCCTCCCATCACCATGCTTTCTGCACCAAAGGCATGATACACTCATGCTTCTGAGTTGTAGGGATGGAATTTCAGGAAAGTTATTCTTCAGATTCAAAAGTATATCTTAAAACACCTAACCTAAAAAAATTAAACAAATTGAATAAAGAACATTTGTTCCTCTGTTATTAAAAGTGAAGGGGGCCATGCAGTACATAACTGGGACTGAAGACAAAAATGGAAAATTTGTAGTTTCTAAAAAGAGGATTAGAATAGGGTGGCGCCTGTGGCTCAAAGGAGTAGGGCACCAGCCCCATATGCCAGAGGTGGAGGGTTCAAACCCAGTCCTGGCCAAAAAATGCCAAAAAGAAAAAAAAAAAAAAGAGGACTAGAATACATAAAGTTGGTATTATCAGTTTTAGGGAGAAAAACACTTAGTAGATTAAGAAAAGAAAAGATGAGAATGAGAGATTTGTTTTATCTTAAGAACGTTTTGCCCCACACAGAATCTTTAAAATAGACATTATATAAAACTTATCTATTGTTCTTATGACATTTAAATAAGTTAACACAAAGTAGAAAATGTGGAGTTAGTTATCTTCTTCCTCATCCTCTTTAATTACTGGAGTACCTAAAATGAAAAAGAAAATTATTACTGGTCGTTCTAAAAAGATTGTTAAAATTCTTTTGTTTTATTATTATTTTTGTTTGTTTGTTTTGTTTTTTTGAGACAGAGCCTCTCTATGTCACCCTGGGTAGAGTGCTATGGCATCACATCTCATAGCAACCTCAAATTCTTGGGCTTAAGCGATCTCTTGCCTCAGCCTCCCCCGCAGCTGGGACCACAGGCTGCCTGCTACAGCACCCGGCCACCTTCTTGTTGCAGCTGTCATTGCTGTTTAACTGGACCAGTCTGGGTTTGAACCCACCAGCTTTGGTGTATTTGGCTGGCACCCTACCCACTGAGCTATGGGCACTGCCTATTTTGTTTTGTTTTTTGAGACAGAGTCTCAAACTGTCACCCTGGGTAGAGTGTCATGGCGTCATCATAGCTCATAGTAACCTCCAAGTCTTGGGCTCAAGTGATCCTCTTGCCTCAGTTTTTTCTATTTTTAGCAGAGAAGGGGCCTCACTTTTACTCAGGCTGGTCTTGAACTTATGAGCTCAAGTTATCCACTTGTTTAGGCGTCCCAGAGTGCTAGGATTATAGGAGTTAGCCACCATGCCTGGCCTTTTTTTTTTCCTTTGGAGACAGAGTCTCACTTTGTTGCCCTTGGTAGAGTGCCATGGCAGCATAGCTCACAGCAACCTCAATCTCTTGGACTCAAGTGATTCTCTTGCCTCAGCCTCCCAAGTAGCTGGGACTACAGTCGCCCACCACAATGCCTCGTTATTTTTTAGAGATGAGGTCTCACTCTGGCTCAGGCTGGTCTTGAACCTGTGAGCTCAGGCAATCCACCAGCCTCGACCTCACAGAGTGCTAAGAATACAGGCATAAGCCACCTTGCCTGGCCTAAATTTCTTGATGAAAATATTTTCCTGTTAACCTGAGAAGCTCTGAGATACTACGAAGTGTGCCATAATAAAAATCATTTCATAAAATAATATCTTTAATTTTGAATTCTCTAAAAATCATCTTGAGAAAATTTTCAAGTGAAATGCCCACAAATGCAAGGCAGAAAAATAAAGTAAGACATGTACACATTAAACTTTTTTTATTTTTTTAGAGATGAGGTCTTGCTATATTGCTCAGGCTGGTCTTGAACATCTTTCTGGTCTCAAGCAATCCTCTTGGCTTGGCCTCCCAAAGTGCTGGCATTATAGATATGAGCTACTACATCCAGCTCAAAAAGCTTCTAAGTTAAGCAGAAAGAAACAGTGTTCATTTTTCACATTAAAATATAATCCCCAGTGTTGCTAGAAATTTGAATTTTTATGTGAATTTCTCCCAACTGTTAAATGCTGGTGATAAATTGAAAAAAGAAAAAAAAATCACTACAGAGAAAACAACACATCTGCAGGTTCTCACTGGGCCAAGGATGACCCATTTCTGAGTTACAGCATTTGAAGCCACAATCTGACCCCAATTGACAATTCAGCCTCAATTCTTCACTGTTCAACTTGCTATTTCCCAAATTCATCATACACACTTTAACTTTTGGACTCCAGGTTTAAAAGTTCCTTCATTTAGAAGGTACTCCCCAACTCTCCTCCCATCTAGACCCTACCTTTAGTTGAGAAACAACTCCAGTGCCTCCTTTGCTGTGATGTCTTCTGATACATACATTTATGTTCTTTATAGTAGTAAGCACAGTTTTACTTTTTTATATTCTCAAAGCATCTGGGGAAAATGAGCTTTTATTTCCCTAGAGACAGGGTCTTGCTATGTTGCCCAGGCTGTCTAGAACTCCTAGCCTCGAGTGATCCTTCCACTTTGCCTCCCGAAGTGCTGGGATTATAGGCAGAAGCCAACACGCCCAGTGAGAGTGAACTTTTTATTGACTCATAACATACAAAGTATACAAGTTATAAGTATACAGGTCATACTTTGGACACATCCAATAACCAGCACCCAGATTTAAAAAATATTATCAGAGCCAAACATGGAGGCTTGCACCTGTAATCTTAGCACTTTAGGAAGCTGAGGTGGGTGGACTGCTTGAGCCTGAGCAAAAATTAGACCCATCTCTACTAAAAATAGAAAAACTAGCCAGGCATTGTGGTGGGTACCAGTAGTTCCAGCTCCTGGGGAAGGCAAGGCAAGAGTATCACTTGAGCCCAAGAGTTTGAGGTTGTTGTGAGCTATGATACCATAGATCTCTACCCAGGGTGACAGAGTAAGACTCTGTCTTAAAAGAAAAAGAAAAATATTATTAGAGACTCTAAAACTTCCTCAGCCCTCCTCACAGTCACTGCTTCTCCAAAAGGTATAATTTATCCTAATGTCTAATGCCATAAACTAATTTACCTGTTTTTGAAATTAATAGGAATGGAATAATATAGTATGCACTCTGTATCTGGCTTCTTTTACACAACATTATGCTTGTATGATTCAGTCATGTTATATAAAGTTGTAGTTTACAACTCTTATTGCTATTTTATTAATATTTTAGTATTTCTATTTTATTTTTTTTAGAGGCAAGGTCTCATTGTGTTGTCCTGACTAGAATGCAGGGGCCTAGTCATAGCTCATTGCAGCCTTGAACTCCTAGGCTCAAGCAATTCTCCTACTTTGGCCTCCCAAAGTGCTGAGATTATAGGCATGTGCTACCACACTCAGTTCTCACTGCCTTTTAATAATCCATTATATGACTGTGCTATAACTTATTTATGTATTCTATTGCTGATGGACATTTGGGTTGTTTCCAATGTTTAGCTATTAAAATAGTACTACTAAGAACATTCACATACATGTCCTTTGGTAAACATACATAGCCTTTCTTTTTTTTTTTTTTGAGACAGAGCCTCAAGCTGTTCCCCTGGGTAGAGTGCCATGGCTTCACTGCTTACAGCAACTTCCAACTCCTGGGCTCAAGCGAGTCTACTGCCTCAGCCTCCCAAGTAGCTAAGACCACAGGCGCCCACCACAACGCCCGGCCTTTTTTTGGTTGCAGCCATCATTGTTGTTTGGCGGGCCCGGGCTGGGGATTCGAACCCGCCACCTTAGGTGTACGTGGCTGGCGCCTTAGCTGCTTGAGCCACAGGCGCTGAGCCAACATACATAGCCTTTCTTCCGGGTATATAGCTAGGAGGGAAATTGCTAGGTCACAAAGGATGCACATGTAGAGTTTTTGTAGATAATGCCAATTTCCAAAGTAGCTATACCAAATTACATTACTATCCTACAAAGGATGAGAGTTGTTCCACAAGCTCACTAGCATTTGGTTTTGTCTTTTCCATTTTAGCTTTTTAAGATCCTTTAGTTTTGCTTAAAGCAAATGAAAAGGAACAAAAATAGGCAGGTTAGCAGCTGTAGCCACCTCTGTTCTGGTCTATCCACTGGTTGAGGATAAACCAACGCAGTTCTTCTATAAGGATTGTTCATACTGGCATGAGGTTAATACTTGGTCTAAAAGGCTAAGGTATGTGGCTTGATCTATGCATGGTCTACATTAGAAATACTGTTTTATTCTTAAGGGAACGGGTTCACATCCTATGAGCAACCCTAAAGGAAGAATTATAGAGTTCAGACAAAGGTGAACATAGAAAAGGCAAAGCTCAAGACTCTACATTCTCTCTTTTTTTCTATTTAATTTTTAAATTGTGAAAAACTCATTCATACAAATATACTACAAATCAATATTTTTATAGTCACTCCCAATTTAGGAAAAAGAACATATAGAAACTTGTTTGCCTCAATTGATTATTCCTGGACCTTCTCACAAAAAGTAATCTGTCCTTGTCATTTTACCCCTAGGTATATAACCAGAGGGAAGAAAAAGAACATTCTTCATGGTTCCACTTATACAAAACTCTAGAAAATAATAACTAATTAATCTATGGGGACAGAAAGCAATCAGTAATTGCCTTAGAAGAATGGTAGTAAGAGGAATGACAGATTACAAAGACAGAAGCAAACTCTTAAGGGTGATGAATATATTCATCTGTTGACTGTGGGAACAAATTAATAGGCATATCCATAAGTCCAAATTTATTGAATTGTACACTTAATGTACAGTTAATTTTATGGTCAATTATATCCCAATCAACCTGTTAAAATTATCTGGTAGAAGAAAAGAACTACTCAAGAGGCTCTTAGGGCAGTGATTCTCAGTTGGAAGACTGATGAGCACATCTCTCCTGAGGGGACACACCATGTCACCTGTAAAAATATTTTTTCCCCCTAGCACTCTCGGAGGCTGAGGCAGGTGGATTGCCTGAGCTCACAGTTTGAGACCAGTCTGAGCAAGAGCAAGATCCCCCCCTCTAAAACTAGCCCAGCAAGCCAGTTGGGAAGCAGAGGCAAGAGAATTGCTTAAGCCCAGGAGTTTGAGATTGTTGTGAGTTATGACCCCACGGTACTCTACCAAGGGTGACAAAGTAAGAATTTGTCTCAAAAAAAAGTCAAATGGGTTGATTAATATTGAAAAAGTTCTTATACATGTAAATTTTTAGATTGACATTAAAATTTTCTAAAATGATTATAATAATGAAAACAATATACAATAGAGTATCCATAGTTGGTCACCTCCTATATTGACCAGTTCCTTATGTTGACCACCTCTGTATGTTGACCAGTTTGTTACGGTCCTTTGGGTGGTCAACTTACAGAGGGTCTCTACTCTATTTTTTGAATACTTATTTTGTGCTAAGCAGTTTTAATATAGATTATCTCAGTGTGCTCAATGTTTCATACAGATTATTTCATTTAATCATCATAATAACACGAAGATATATACTTTAAAATAATCACTAATAGTACTTTTTTTTTTTTTTTT